AACTTCTACAAGAAAACGCCGGAGACCCTATAAAATATATGTATGTATGTATAAAGATACCTACATATAAATGCCCAGCATGACAATCATGAGCTTGTAAGGGGCTACATAGATTTCGTCGAGCAAAAAACGCTGTATTTTCAATACATTTTTTTATACTCTCGCAACATGTTGCTACAGAGAATAATAGTTTTGTACACCTAACGATTGCTTGTATCACTTAAAACTAATCGAGTTAGATATAGGGTTATATATAAATGATCGGAATGATGAGACGAGCTAAAATTCGGATGTCTGTCTGTTCGTCCGTCCGTCCGCCCGTGCAAGCTCTAACTTGAGTAAAAATTGAGATATTCTTATGAAACTTGGTACGAATATTTCTTGGTACCGTAAGACGGTTGGTATTGCAGATGGGCGTAGCCGGGCCACTGCCATGCCTACAAATCGCCATTAATCAAAAACAAATAAATTGCCATAACTAAGCTCCACAATAAGATATAATACTGTTACTTCGTATACAGGAACACATTATGGAGGGGCATTTGCAGTTTAAATTTTTTTTTAAAAAGTGGGCGTGGTCCCGCCCGTAATAAGTTTAATGTGCATATCCCCTAAACCGCTAAAGCTATAATAACCAAATTCACTGGGAGCAAATGTTTTTAGCACCTCTATTGACGGTGTGAAAATGGGTGAAATCGGGTGACATGCCCGCCCACTCCCCATATAACGGTACTGTCAAAAACTACTAAAAGCGATGAAAAAAGGGCTTAATACTTATCTCTGGGATGAAATGAGGTGACTTTATAGGATCCGCGTTCAAACTTAGACAATGGGCGTGGCACCGCCCACTTTTAGGTGAAAAGCCATATTTTGGGATCTGCTTAACCGATTTTAACCAAATTCGATACATAATATTCTTCTCATATTTCTATGTTATAGTACGAAAATGGGCGAAATCGGACTACACCACGCCTATTTCCCATATAACACCATTTTAAATTCCATCTGATTCTTTCACTTTCCACTATGCAAATCAAGCAGCAATAATTGTATCGGAGTAAAACTTTGCGTGAATATTGTGTTTAAAGTATGCCACCTTGTGACCAAAAATTGTCTAAATCGAACCAAAACCGTTCAAGCTCCTAGGTACTGAATATGTAGACCCCAGTGCCTATAGTTGACTCCTTACCGAAAATATTGGCGAATGTGTAAGATATATAATTAAAATTCATATAATAAAATAAATAAATGAAACTCTTGATAATAGTATATCTTTGTGTCAAAAATGGTTTGAATCGGATCAATACTTCCTTTAATATAAAATTTTGTCAACACCTGAAGTAATTTTCCGGGCTGTGATCCTTGCAAGTTGCGAGAGTATAAAATGTTCGGTTACACCCGAAATTCAAACCTTGATTATTCCGAAGATACATATTTTATAAAGATTTTGTGAAATATTTCAAAGGAAAATATTCCAAACTCGGTCATTACGACGTCAACTCAACGCTTCCGCGTTGACAGCAGAATTTCTGACAGGATCATCAAAAGTAAAAAGAAAATGCGGGTTTTAACTAAAACCATTAACTAGGTATTGGGATGAGAAAAAACTAATAAAGTAAAAATTCTATTTTTGCAGACTTTTTTACAAAAACTTTACGAATTGGATACGATTGTTTTCTAAATAGTTGAAATTGAACAAAAAAAAAAATCCCCCACGGCAAGACCTTGTACATTTTATTAAGTAATTATTTTATTTTAAATTATATCTCAAAAACCTGTGTAAAATTTTATTAAGATCGGTTGAGTAGTTTGTGAGAAATCTTAACAAACGACTTTGAAAACACAGCTTCGAAAAAAACGCGTTTAAAGTTTTAAGTGACTATATAGCTGACCTTGAGCGGGCAACTTTTCAAAGCTGTATATGCAAAATTATTACTGGTATCAACTTGAGAATTTAGGGCAATATTTTAGAGAATTAAATAAGACAATAAGATTTTTTTTGAAGCCGTGAAAACCATGTTACCCCTTAAAGCAGGGTGAAGCATGAACTATTAGACCACTTTTTAAGCATAAATTTCTATATCATTTCTTATTACCAAAAAAAAAACTCTTCAGTAATCGACTGCCATATATTACTTCGTCCTCTACTTTCGCATCATAACTATCTTCATCACCATGCTTCTACAATATATACTATTAAACCTAGATTGAAATTCGTTATAGAAGAAGCATTTTAGTTAAAACACTGTTCCCTTATCAACTACTTTACAAATGTAAAAACAACATCAAATAACATTTCGTTGTCTACATAAAAAATCATTCCCACAAAAAACAATCACTCCCTCATGGTCCAACACACCAGTTGCTTTAAAGAACGCAAAGCCATCACTTTGGATTACATTTAAGCAGAAGAGAATGAATAACTTAATCAGCAACTTGATTTCAGAAAAGAACTAAAATCAGCAAAAACATAAATATCTAGAACTTCCAGCACAAAATAAAAGTAATATTAAAAAATATATTAGTACTTAAGAGATTCCAATATACATGTTGGTTGAAAAGTTTCTGCGCTCGAAATGAAACAATCCTGTTTTTGGTACGAAATATATTTTTTTATTCAATATAATCTTCCTTAACTTCAATACACTCATTCAAATGATAATTTTATGCCAACCCTATAATGACTTTCCGGAAACTCTGTAAAATACCCGTCTACGGCTGTAATAGCTTCTTCATTCGACGTCAAACGCTTTACACGAAGGAATTGTCTCAGGTTTTTGTAGAGGTAGTAGTCGCTGGGAGCCAAGTCTGGTGAAAACGGTGGATGCTCAAGGAATTTGTGCTTTAATTCGTTGAAATTTGTCATTGCTAAACCACTTTGTGAGCAGGTGAATTGTCTTGATGAAAAATAAATTTTTGTGCTGCAAACCAGGTCTTTTCTCACGAATTTTTCCTCCAGCTGATCAAAAAGGCTGCTATAACATTCAGAGTTGATTGTTTTACCTTTTTGCAGATAATCAATAACCAAAATTCCTTTTGCATCCCAAAATCAGATGTCATAACCTTCTTTGCTGATCATTGTCACTTCACCAGCTTTGGAGCTGAACAAACAGATTCAATCCACTGTAAAAATTCTTGTTTCAATTCAGGATCATGGTGGTGATCCAAGTCCCATTCATAGTTATAAAATGATGCCAGAAATCGGTTTTACAAGTATTTTGCTTAAAACGCTTTTTTTGAATTGTTAACGTGTGCGGCACTAACTTTCCAAACAGCTATTTCAATGTAATTTCATGTAATTCTCATTTCATGTAATTCTCCATGTAAAATATGTGGTACTCGTTTTTCTGAGATGCCTATGGCATTAGCAATTCCACTCTTAGTCAAACTTGGACAATATTATGAACTTGCTCAATGATTTCTGGTGTGGTTGCGGTTTTTGGTCGTCCTTCGCGTCGATCGTCTTCAAGCCTAATACGACCACATTTAAATTCATCAGCCCAAAATTCAACGGTGAGTTTTAAAAGTGACGACTCCTTATACACTTCTAACAATTGTTCATAAATTTCCTTTGCTTTTAAACCATTCAAAACAAAGAATCCAGTCACTGCGCGATATTCAATTTTCGCCAAGTACTCTGACGCGTCAACTTCAAATGGCTTGTAAACAAAGAATTAATTGACAGAATGACTTGTAACTTTGCATTTGTTCTCACGACAGATCTACCAACTTGAGAAAAAAAATTGCAGCTAGTAGTGCTATTTCTTGGTGAGCACTACTCACTTTTCAACCAACCTGTATAAAAAGTGATATAAAAGCTCTCTCAGGTAGATAAATGAAATTGACTTTACTCAAACTTCCCAAGATATATCAATAATCCTCAAATCTTAAGAGAAAATTTTGCGCTAACATGATTAAGCAATTCACACAATTCTAACTTCCACACCTTCATTACCCTATCAAGTCAAATAAATTCACAAACATATCACAACCCAACACAGTATTTTAAAGTTACAATGCTAGAATATCCATTTAATAGAAGAGTTTGACTACACTCACAGTTAAACATCCCTCTTCTAAAAAACTTTATCCACTCCTTAAAAGCCAGACTAATAAACTGTATATAAAAACATGTTAAATCTTGATCGAGAGTATATCAAGGCTGAAAAAATATTTCTCTCTCAATTTATCAATTCTAACCGGCATCGAATCGATTTATCTACTGTAATAAAAAAAACCGAGATAGATTAATTATTTATAAATAGTTCTCATGTAAAAATAATCAATAAATAATTCTAATAACTATATTAAATTTCGTAGCAATATCTTATTTGCGTCCATACTTTATTCTTAAATATGTGACTCTCTTTAAGTAAAATATCAGTCGCATAACTCACTTTCCTGGTCGGATTGTCTTTTAAAGGTCCTTAATGAACACTTATATCGACAATTTTGTACGTACATACCATAGATGAACAGCCAGTTTCTGTTGCTATGGTTCTTCTAATGCGTCGTTAAGTTGTCGCCTTGGAAAGCTTAGTGCTTCGCGTCGTTCATTTGGTAGTTTCTATTGTGAGTTGCATTGTAATACGTGCATTCGTTTTTGAATGTTTAGTCCTTCTTTTAGTAGTTTTGTAATTTTTAGTGGAGCATGGTCTCCTTATAGTCGTTCTTGGAGTTTTGATGGGGCAAGGCCTCCTTTTCGTAGTGTTGGTTGTGCCAAGCCCTCTTTCGGTATCTATTGTAGTTTTAGTGATTCATTATTTTTTGTAGTCGATGATATCGGAAGCATCATGTAGCATTCGCCACCTTTTTGGAGTTGGGTTTAGTTGGCTTGAAATTTCTAGGTGTGCACTGTTTTTTTGGATTCGTTTTTAATGTGCGTAGCGTTTTCTTGGTATATTAGATACTTTCTGCTGTGTATAGCCTTCTTGTAGTCCATTTTGGATGCTGATGTTCTTTTGGTCGTTTTGTTACTTCTTAAGGTACGTAGTATTTTTGGACCTTGTAGTAGCTTTAATGAAGTAGAGCTTTCTTGTTCTTTTGGTAGTTTGATACTTCTTGTGGTGTATACTCTTCTTGTAGTCCATTATATTTTGGGAGCTGACGTTCTCCTAGTAGTTTTCATATTTCTTGTGGTATATAGCCATCTTGTAGGGCATATTAATTTATGAACTGGCGTTCTCCTGGTAGTTTTCATATTTCTTGTGGTGTATTTTCTTCTTGTAGGCCATTTTGTTTTAGGAGCTAGCGTCCTTTTGGTAGTTTTGATACTTACTGTGTAGAGTTTTCTTGTGGTAGTTTTTGTCTTGCAACCACAACCATGGCTTGTGTTTTTAGTAGTGTGTAGACTTCTTGTAGTCTTTTTTGTTGGCCACGTCCATCTTTTGGTTGTTTTGATAGTTCTAGTGGTGCGTTTCGATGTTTTAGTAGTTTTGAGAGCTTTTGTGGTGCGAGTCTTTCTTGTAGTCGGAGTTATGATGCGTGTTGAACTTTTGGTAGTGTTGGGCGCTTTCGTTGTGGAGGTTTTGTGTGTAGTCGTAGTTGTGGTGCGTGTTGAACTTTTGGTAGTTTTGGCCGCTTTTGTGGTGCGGATCTTTCTTGTAGTAATTTTTGTAGTGCGTGTCCTCCTTGTAGTCCTAGTTGTTGTCGTGGGCGGCCTCTTAGAAGTGAACTTAGGACAATTTTTTCTTCCGCAGCAACAACAGCATGTTTTCCAGTGGCAACACGGAAAGCGTCTGCGTTTAAAAAATTTAAGGTTCGCAACTCTGCTGTGATGTGCTTTGATAGAGCGTTTCAGCCTAGAATGTATCAGCTTTTCAATGACATTAAATTCACTCGACGTTTGGAGCATTCCTGTTCCACCAGCTTTAATTAGCTTTTTGGATAGTAATTGGGTTGTTGTAATACCAAAAGCTGCAATCTTGCCATCTTGTTTTCTCACGACCTGATTATTACACTGTACTATGGTTAGAACCCCCGCGATCGAAGTAGCAATTCCTAGAAAGGCCGAAGTCTGCATTTCGTTTGCGCGGTCAACTTTGCTAAGACACGCGCGTACAGAACGCTTGCTCAAACCTGTGAGACTCGACAGTGTCTCGTGTTTTTATATAAAGTATTGTTTAATTTCCATCAGATGTTTCAGTGAATTTAGTTATTTGGGAAAGAAAACACCTTGTGATTTGTACTAATTAACAAAAAAATTAATTTAGTTTTTAGGGCTTTGTGCATACTGTATGCTTAATTGTTTATACACTCAGAGAAAAGTCGCATTCATACATGATTTAAGAATTGTATATTGTAGGAAAAATATCAGAAATTGTCTTTCGATATTTTATTGTCATCAGAAAATGGTTTATAATTTAATGTAGCAGTCTCTTGTTAGCATTTCCCTCAATTAATATTCCATAATAAGAAGAACATACACCATGCTTAATCCTCTTTGCCTGCCAGTCTAGATTTTTGCTGACGGCAATTTAGTCCTGTCTTTTTACAGCCTCTTTGTACGGTTCAAGAACTAATCGCGAATCCTTTCGACTGAATAAACTCGATCCTTACATATTCGATCATTTCGCCGTTTTCGCCCATTTGACTTGTTCAGGATTCAATCCACCTGGTCGTTAAATTTATTTCTTCCTACAGTGACTGGTTTCGCTAAAGCCTCACAATTTGTCTAAATTCTTTTCTTCTATCTCCGATAGGAGTTTTCCTAAACCCAATTCTCAATTCTAGTTTTTCTTAGATGTAACACCAAGATAGAATAAAAATCTAAACCGAACAATAATAATAGTATGTGTATATACAATACATATTAATTAGGTTCAGCCCTTTCGATGAATTCCGCGAATATTTTCGTGAAGATTTTCAAGGCACTCTTAACATACAGCCAACCAATAATCAAGTCACCAATATTATCTAAATAAGACACATTAGACCGGAAAGGAACACTTGCTATAGGACCTTATAGAACTTTACAATAACTTTCCAAGAGTAGAAGAGAATTGCAAAGTTACATTGATTGAAAGTGGCTCGAAGTACAAAGCCTTCGTTAGGTATAGTTACTAACTACTGGTTTTGTGGCGATTCCCGAGTTGTTAGATACTACTTAGATATATGTAAATACATATTACCATCAAAATAATTTATTCCTATAAGCACACAGTAGAGAACCTTATGGTTAACACATTAAGGGGATTTTACTGAATCCCGGCTGATATTAATTCACATATATATTATTTTGTCATATGTAGCTTTAATAATAAAATTTTTCTACTTTACACTTGGCCCTCTAATCTTAAAGCTTCAGTCGTACAACTTGTTTTCCGGCCAAACATTGCTATAGGTATACCTTCTGGACACTCACTTGGGCAAATCCATAAACATACACAATAACACCCGCTTGGTTTTGTTGGAGTAGTAACCTCTTTCGTGCCTGTCATACCTGTGCTTTCAGTTGAGCCGGTGCTTCTTAACGTGGTTGTTTGGGTGCTTATTGATTTTGTAGTGGATTGTGATGGATCGGTTTTTCTTGAAGTAGTGTTTTGCGTGATTGACCATTCTGAAGTGAATTGTGTTGAGGTGGTTTTTCTTAGAGTTGATTTTGTGGTACCAGTTCTTTTTGTAGTAGGTTTTGTTGGGATGGTTTTTCTTGAAATAGATGTTTGTGTGCTTGTAGATTCTGAAATGAATTGTGTTGAGGTGGTTTTTCTTGGAGTCGGTTTTGTGGTACCAGTTCTTTTTGTAGTAGATTTTGTTGCGGTGGTTTTCTTGAAATAGATGTTTGTGTCTTTAGATTCTGAAATGAATTGTGTTGAGGTGGTTTTTCTTGGAGTCGGTTTTGTGGTACCAGTTCTTTTTGTAGTAGATTTTGTTGCGGTGGTTTTGATTGGAATAGTTGATTGGGTGCTTGTCGATTGTGAAGAGAATTGTATTGAGGTGGTTCTTCTTGGAGTACTTGTTTGGATGCTTTTCGATTTCGAAGTGAAGTGTGTTGAGGTGGGTTTTCTTGGAGTCGGTTTTGTGGTACCAGTTCTTTTTGTAGTAGGTTTTGTTGGGATGGTTTTTCTTGAAGTAGATGTTTGAGCGCTTGTCGATTCGAAAATTATATGTGTTGAGGTGGTTTTTCTTGGAGTCGGTTTTGTGGTACCAGTTCTTTTTGTAGTAGATTTTGTTGCGGTGGTTTTTCTTAAAATAGATGTTTGAGTGTTTGTCGATTCTGAAGTGAATTGTGTTGAGGTAGTTTTTCTTGGAGTCGTTTTTATGGTACCAGTTCTTTTTGTAGTAACTTTAGTAGGCGTAGTTTTTCTTGGAGGAGTTGTTTGGGTGCTTGTCGATTTTGAAGTGAAATATGTTGAGGTCGTTCTTTTTGGATTAGTTGATTGAGTGATTATCGATTTTGAGGTGAATTGTGTTGAGATGGTTTTTCTTTGAGTAGACGTTTGGGAGCTTGTCGATTTTATAGTGTATGGTGTTGACGTTGTTCGTCTTGGAGTAGTTTTTGTCGGGGTAGTGTTTGTGGTAACAGTTCTCTTTGTAGAGGTAATTTTTTTTGGAGCCGTTTGTGTGGTACCTGTTCTTTTTGTAGTAAATTTTAAAGGAGTGCTTTTTCTTGGAGTGGTTGTTTGGGTGCTTGTCGATTTGAAATGCATTTAGCATTGAGATGGTTTCTCTTAGGTAGTTTGTGGTACCTGTATTCTTTTGTAGTAAATTTGTGGGAGTAGTATTTCTTGGAGTTGTTTGTTGCTCTGGATTTTAGAAGTGAATTGTGTTGAGGTGGTTCTTTTGGAGTAGTTGATAGAGTGCTCGATTTTGGTGAATTGTGTTGAGTGGGTTCCTTGGAGTCAGTTTTGTGATACCAGTTCTTTTGTAGTAGGTTTTATTGCGGTGGTTTTCTTGAAATAGATGTTTGAGTGTTTGTCGATTCTGAATGATTGTGTTGAGGTAGTTTTCTGGAGTCGTTTTATGGTACCAGTTCTTTTTGTAGCTTTAGTAGGGGTAGTTTTCTTGGAGGAGTTGTTTGGGTGCTTGTCGATTTTATGATATTGTGTTGAGTGGTTCTTTTGAGTAATTGATAGAGTGCTTGTCGATTTGAAATTGTGTTGAGATAGTTTCTTTGAGTAGATGTTTGGGTGCTTGTCGATTTTGTAGTGGATGGTGTTGACGTTGTTCGCCTTGGAGCAGTTTTGTAGTACCTGTTTTTCGTAGTGGATTTGGTTGGATCGTTTTCTGGGAGTAGTTGTTTGGATACTCGATTTTGAAGTGAAATGTGTTAAGGTGGATTTCTTGAGTCGTTTTTAGTACCTGTTTTTGTAGTGGATTTGGTTGGGATGGTTTTCTGGAGTAGATGTTTGGTGCTTTGTGATTAGTAATTTTTGTTTCTTGTAGATGTTTTGTCACCTTTTTGTAGTGGATTTGTTGTGGATGATTTTCTGGAGTAGTTGGGTGCTTGTGATTTAAGTAATTGTGTGTGAGTGGTTTCTTTGAGTAGATGTTTGGGTCTTGTTGATTTTGTAGTGGATGGGTATGACTTGTTCGTCTTGGAGTGATTTTGTCGTATCTGTTCTTTTGTAGTGGATTTTGTTGGGATGATTTTCTGGGAGTAGTTGGTTGGGTGCTTGTCGATTCGGAAGTGATTGTGTTAAGGTGGTTCTTCTTGGAATAGTGTTTGTAGTACCTGTTTTTTTAGTGGATTTGGTTGGGATGTTTTCTGGAGTAGTTGCTTGGGGTGCTTTCGATTTGAAGTTGTTGTTGTGTGAGTGGTTTTTGAGCGGTTGTTTTGGTGCTTGTCGATTTTAAGTGAATTGTGTTGAGTGGTTTGGAGTAGTTGATAGAGTGCTTGTCTTTGGAGGTGAATTGTGTTGAGATAGTTTTCTTAGGAGATGTTTGGGGGTGCTTTCGATTTGCAGTGGATGTTGTTGGATTGTTGTCTTGGAGTAGTTTTGTCGTATCTTTTCTTTTGTAGTGGATTTTGTTGGGATGGTTTTTCCTAGGATTCTTGGGTGCTCAATTTTAAGTGGTAATGTTGAGTGGTGTGAGTCTTTTTGGTACGTTCTTTGTAGGATTTTGGATAGTTTCTGGAGGAGTTGTTTTGGTGCTTGTTGATTTTGAAGTGATTTGGTAGTGGTTCGTCTTGGGTAGTTTTGTTAGTATCTGTTCTTTTTGTAGTGATTTGTTGGGATGGTTTTCGGAGTAGTTGGTGGGTGCTTGTCGATTCGGAAGTGAATTGTGTTAAGGTGGTTCTTGGAATAGTGTTTGCGTACCTGTTTTTGTGATGGATTGGTTGGGATGTTTTCTGGGAGTAGTTGTTTGGGTGCTTGCCGATTTTGAAGTGAATTTTTTTGGGGTGTTTCTTTTTGGAGTAGTTGTTGGGTACTTGTCGATTTTGAGGGTATGTTGATGAGCGTATCTCTCGGGTAGTTTTGTAGTTCTCTTTGATGGATTTTGTTGGGATTTTTCTGGAGTAGTTGTTTGGTGCTTGTCAATTCGAAGTGTAATGTTAAGTGTTTTCTTGGAATAGTGTTTTGTAGTACTGTTTTTGTGAGTGGATTTGGTTGGATGTTTTCTGGAGTGTAGTTGCTTGGGTGCTTGTCGATTTTGAAGTGAATTGTTGTTGAGGTTTTCTTTGAGTAGATGTTTGGTGCTTGTCGATTTTGTAGTGGATGTTTGCGTTGTTTCTTGGAGTATTTTTGTCGTATCTGTCTTTTGTAGTGGATTTTTTTGGATGGTTTCCTGGGTGAGTGCTTGGTGCTTTCAATTTTGAAGTGATTGTGTGAGGTGGATGATCTTGGAGTCTTTTGTGGTACCAGTTCTTTTGTAAGGATTTGTAGGGATGTTTTTCTGGAGAGTTGTTTTGTCTTTTGATTTTAAGTGAATTTTTGAAGTGGTTCGATGTAGTGGTTTTGTCGTATCTGTTCTTTTGTAGTAGTGTTTTTGGGATGTTTTTCTGGGAGTATTGGTTGGTGCTTGTCGATTTTGAAGTAATTGTGTTGAGGTGGTTTTCTTGTAGTAGTTTTTGTGGTACCAGTTCCTTTTGTAGTAAATTTTGTCGGAGTAATTTTCTTAGAGGTTGTTTGGTGCTTGTCGATTAAAGTGGAT